TTTTTTTTTTTTTTTAGATGTATTATTAAGGAAACAAATTCATGATTTATCATGAATTAAATGTATCATCAGTGAATGCATATAAAAATGGAATATTATAGTTACGAACCACACGATAAGTACAAGAAACCGAGTTTCTATAGTCGGCAGCACTCGTAGCAGAGTGGGTAAGGTACTGGACCATATGCAGGAGGTCGAGGGTTCAAATCTTTGAAGTGGAAAGTGGAAAGAATTGTAAAAGAAAAAATTTCTAAGTTAAAGAAAAATTGTTGTGAGAAAATAAAATTAACATTCATTTAATAATTAATTGCTTGGGAGTGTGAGGGGGAATGGTGGGCAAAGGTGTGCAGAAAAGTAACACGGCACGGTTGGCAGATATACATATATAGTGGGGGGAGGGGAAATGTGTAGAGAGCAGTAGGTAAGGGGGATGGGATAAGGGGGGAATCTTGAGAGGAAGAGACTTTGGGTGAACCACTTCCGTTTCAAAAAATCTCTCGGTTTTAAAATTCCAGCCTCCTAAGTACGTGACATAAAAAACTTCGTTCTAAAAAAATATAGCATACACACTCTGCTTCAAGAATTTTTTTTTTATCAACAGAATTCAAAGATTTTCTTACGTCTCATTTCCTGATTTTGATGGTTGTACAGGCAAAATTGAGTGTTTATTGCGTTGTGGATGTAACTTTTTTTTAAATGTACGTATATGAAGCGCAAGAATCAATTTTAAACGTGCATTATACTTCTGTAAAAGTATCATTGGAATTAAAGTAATCAAATGTGTCTTAAGTTAAAACATGAATTTTAAGTAAAATGAGCTTAGTCACATAACTTATGAAAAGTTAAATTTTATACTTGTAGCTCAACTTACAGGGAAAAACATTTTGTTTATAGTATACTATCGTGAAATTTCACTTTTTTTAAATTTTTTAATATGAAAACATCATATACAAAACTAGGACTTTCTGCTAGGGCGGTAAAAATTGTATAGCGTTATCCTTCTTCTATCACAATAAATATATACAGACACGGTGATGAATAAGCATTACAAAAATCAGGGAAAGAACACGAACGAGTGAAAAAGAAAATTAGAAATGGATAAGCATTTCGAAAAAAGTCAGAAAATATGTTCGTGATTTGTGACGAAAAGGTCAGCTAGGCTACTAAAGCAACTAAAGCTGGAGTTCCTGCACGTTTACAGTTTGAGTTTCCAAAGAGTTTGACTTCGCTTAAAGTGTTAAAATTGGCCCCGTTTACTCAAATTTCATTATGACTCCTTACATTTTAATGTTAATCCTAAACAAAACTAATATACCATGACCTACACCCACAACATAGTTCTTCCTTTAAAGTGTCCATGTTATATCAGTGGCAAAGCTATTTACCTCATCCAAACACCCTTTTATATTTTTCTACGATAAGTCAAACAGTATTTACAATTTTAAAAGTGTACACTGGTTTGACCTGGTAAACAGATTTTACTAGTCAGTTTTCAAAGGAATTAATACTCATTTCTATGGTACTCAGCATGAAACATCACTAATTAAAACAAAAAGAATTAGCTAACTAAAATGGCCAACACATATTAATTTAATTAGAAATAAAATTTAGTCTCAAATTTTGACCATACCACTTTTTAAGAGAAAGTCATTGGTTTGGACTTTGCTTTGCACCTCTTTTTGTTGACTACAACAGTGATAAAATTGCTTAAGTTGATCTCGTTTGATGGCTGAATCTCAAACACTACCCTAAAATTTTGTTAATAACAAAACAATATCAGTAGCAATGCCTTAATGTTTCACAAAGCTCATTAATGATGTTAGATTATTAAACTAGCTACTTCCCGAGAATCAGCTAAAAATTAGTTAAATAAAGAAAAGCATGAGATAAGAATTAATTAAAATAGTATAAGATTTGTACTATTGATGTTTTTGATATTTTTGTTAGTATACAGCTTGTTTACAGAAGAAGCTAATATAATTTGACAACAAGTAAACACAAATCCCAGTGGTAAACTAAAGATATTGACAGCATGCTCCATTGTCATTTATTATGCCAAAGTATGCTTGTAACATCTTTAGTTATTCAGAATTTTAAAAGCCCAAAATAGATTGTATCATCATTACCATGAAAGTACTACAGTTATAATAGGAAAAAAAGATATTTAATTTATCGTCCCCAATGCTGTTTTAACATTAGCATTTATTTAGGCAAATGAGAATAAATATGATTTTTCTTTTTCTATTTTTGAGGTATATTGTCATATCTTATTGAGGTTAGATAATATTGTCATATCTTTCTGTAAGTGACAAATATGCATAAAAAAATATAAAACGTATCAAAAACGTTAGTAATGGGCTGTATACTATGATTTTCACCCAATGCTTCTTAAATTTTACCATTGTTACTCGAATATATTTAAAATAAGCTGGTTCAAAAATCAAACAACGTGAAGAAGCTATACAAATTTTCCGGAAATTTGAACTAAAAATTTTATATTCTTCACAATATTGACAATTAAAGCAATTGTCATGAAAGTACTATTTTGGCTGAATGTATCTTAGATAAGACCTGCAGCGCATCAGGAACATACTCTTAGCAAATTAAGAGCATTCATGAGAGTTAGTTTGGGAAAAGTCTAAAGAAGTAAAAGAGGTGGAAGCATGCAGCTACGCTAGCAGTTGATTTGCTCGTACGAATATACTTTTTGTATGTTTTGATGCATACTCAAATTATTCTTTATTATTTTATGAGAAAGCTTGTACTTTTTTTTTAACTGACCATAGTATCAAACAGTTTTCTATCATATAAAAAAAAAAAGGAGATTTTCACATCTTATTTCTTAATAAACGCTATCTTATGTTTTTTTTTTTTAATAATTTATTTATTCATAAAATAACTTATTTACAACATAAATTATTAGCATTACTGTAGTGCCAAAAAACCTACGGTTTAATAAAAATCGGTCGGTATTTTATGCATTAAATGCAAAAAATACAGATATTTAATGCGTAATAACGCGCCTTATTATATTAGATCTACATAACCATATTTATGCTAATAAAAATTTTTTTTTTTTTTTAGATGTATTATTT